AATGAACACACTTACCAGCAGATGAACATATGAAGCCATTAAAAATAATGGATTAGATTATAGATAATAGATTAATAAATGATAAAAAAAAAAGTTATGAGAAATTATAAAAAACACTTAGGTTCTAGATGTGGGAATATATGCTCGATCTTGTTCAGCTTTTCTGGATCTGATGTCATAAACCAGAAGGAGAACAGCAGCTGCAGCAGCCACGCCCACCAGAGCAGTGACGACCAATCGGATCACACCTTCAATAAGGCAAGGCAAGGCAAGTTTATTTATTTAGCACATTTCATACACATTGGTAATTCAAAGTGCTTTACATAAAAGTAAAATAATCATAAAAAATAATCACAACAATAAAACAAGGAATTTAAAAACTTTTAAAATGTTTTAAAAGTTGATTTAAAATTCATTTAAAACAGTTAAAAATAGGAAATGATTATATATAAAATACAGTAGAATCACAATGGCCAACAGAGTCTGAGGAATAAAACATTAAACTGAGATCAGATCAGCTCAACCACAGGCATAAACTTATGCACCATAGACTTACCTGAACATGTCGGACAGAGTTGAGTGTTGTTGAGATCTTCAGTCCGGTTAGTGAAAGAATAAGACTCTCAACCTCCAGAGGTAGAGAGAGACTGATGCTGAGATCAGACACACTGATGCTGGACAATAAACTGTTTCCTTTGTACCAGGAGAGAGTCACATGACCCACATTCACCACTGAACACACCAGTGAACAATATGATGATGATGATGATGAAGAACATTGTGGAGAGTCTCTGACTATGACAGGAACAGGCAGACGAGCTGAAAAACATGATAGAATCAAGATAAATGAGGTTGAAGACATTATAGTAGATGAAGAAGAAGTATCAAGAGGAACCAAGACTGATCAAAGTAGAGTTTATATTTAACTCCCTATTTAACTCACCATAGACAGTGAGACTGACATTCTTGCTCATGTTTCTGTTGATCCGTAGTTCATAAAGTCCAGAGTCTGTGGTTTTGGTGTTTGTGATGGTCAGAGATCCAGTCTGATGATCCACTTTCAGTCTGCCTTTGAAACTCCTACTCCGTTGATCATTTAGATTAAATCTGTCATCTATTACATTGATTTGAGCTACTAAAGTGATTTCAGTTGCAAACACCCATAGAATCAGATCTTTATCGTTAACTTCAGTGTCATCAGTGTAACAGAATCTCCCTCCATCATCTGCATCACCAAACAGAACAGAGAACAAACAGAACCAGGGTTTGTCAAAGATTAAGACTTTATCATTTTATGACAAAAGATTCAAAATGGTGTTTGGTTTAATACTACTGTTTAACCCACCCTAGAAAAAAAATCTCTTCTTCAAACATGTTGTATGTAGTTCAAAGTCTTCAGAGTCTGTAGTTCTGATATTTGTGATGGTCAGAGATCCAGTCTGATGATCCAGCTTCAGTCTGTCTCTGAATCTCTCATTAAGAACATCATCATATATCATGCATATGCAGCTCTTTACATTGATTTCAGCTATTAAACTCGTCTCAGATCCAAGCTTCCACTGAATCCAATCATCATCCATTAATTCAGTAAAACCAGTGTTTTGAATCTCCCTCCTTCACTAGCTTCATTTTATATTTGATTTCTAACACACCTGAAGAACGGAGTTTGTCACAGATTATAAAGGTTTAAAATAAGATGTTGGTTTGATGAAGACTTCACTAAAATAGTCTGCTGCAGTACAAAGACAAATGAAGATAAATGAAAAGAGATCGGAACAATAATTAAATAAATAAGTACTTCAGATTAGAGTCACGTCACATTAAAACAAATGCCGTTGGGTATTTCATCTTCATATTGATTTAAACTGAGTTTAGTCAAATTAGATCTCACATTAGAATTACAGTTTAATAATTTACACATGAGAATAGTAGTTAATGTTAATCTAGCCAGTAAGGTACCAGAACAAAAGCAACTGAAGCCATAAAAACATTTAAAACTCACCAACCAGATGCCACAAACACAAACAGAACCAAACTAATCTGAGAGACATTTTCTCCATTTCTCCATGATAGTCACCCTTAAAATGGTTGAAAACATTCAGATTAATCTGAAACACAGCTGAACTGTGATATTTATCTGGTTGTGACCTCAGTCACAGTTTCCGCTGACACATCCGATCCATGTCCTTAAATATCATGAAAATCAACAAGCTTTTGCTGATTTTACATTTTCAGCTGAATTTCTATCCCTGTATGAAAACTAATAGTGGAAGAGTAAAATGTTGCATATTAGATACACTGTAAAAAATTCATGTGAAATCTACAGGAATTTACTGTGTTTGTGCACAGGAAATTACTGTATACTAGTTCACAGTAGAATACCGTAGTTTCAGTCAAAATTGCAGTAATGTAAGAAGTACTGTGAGTGTCACAGTAACCAGCAATGTCTTGTAGAAAATTACAGTAACTTCCAATGTAGTGTAGAAAACACAATAACTAATTATGTACTGAAGAAAATCACAGTAATTACCAATGTATTGTAAAAAACACAACAAGCAATTATGTACTGTAGAAAATTACAGTAACCAACAATGTGCTGTAAAAAAATAATGGATATTATTTATATCCAGCTTAGTTTTCACAAGAGAGCAGGCGCGACTATTTGTAACTTGAATGTGTTTGGCTTCTGGTGTCTTTCGCTTCCAGTTATTTTACCTGTACAAAAACAGCCCATTATACTGCTTCATACAAACTTTTAATTATTATCATATTATTTTAACTTCAGTATCATAATCATAAATTCCCCCCCCAGAACGCAATTTCACCGTACTGCCATACACTAGGGTTTTCTGAAACCCAGCCACTGGGATAGAGAAGGAAAACATAGTAGCCTACACTGGCAGCTGGGTTTCCAGCCAATGACTGCATTTCATTAGACCTCACTGTAATTCAATTACATTTGAGGTTTGAATAGAGAATACAGGAAGCAAATGTATTCTTTAATAAAAATAAAAATAAAAAAATGACCAGAAGGTCATCAAGATTTTATTGTTTTCAACACATCTAGCAATAAGTGAAGAATGATAAATGAAGCTTGTTATAATGATGAGCAGTTAACTGTGACTGTTGATAAATGAATATTTATATTTAAATCGTGCAACATGCATTATTTATTTCATATTCATTTGTATTTTTTATTTGGGCTGAACCAATATAACTAAACAGCAATGGAACCTGTCGGTACCGATAGTCTAGTGGTTAGCGCACTGACATATAGTGCAACTGTGTCTCTGGCGACCAGTGTTAAATTCCTGGCTTAAGGTCCTTTGCCGATCACATTCCCCACCAATCATTACACTGTCCTGTGTAATAAGCACAAAAAGGCAAAAAAAAAGAAAGGTTGCCCTTGCAAATTAGTGAGTTTTACTTTACAGTTACATGGTGGCTACTGTAAATGAAAACAGTGAAAATATGGTTATTTCTTCTACAGTAAGTTACTTGTCACTAGCTGCCAGTTAATTACTGTATTTATTTTCTACAGTAAGTTACTTGTCACTTGCTGCCGGTTAATTACTATGCTTTTTATACAGTAAGTTACTTGTCATTTGCTGCCAGTTAATTACTGTGAATTTCCCAGTCAGTTTCTTACAGTGTACATGCATCTACTGTGCGGGTTATTTATTGTCATAACCATAACCACCAACATTATTGGACTGCAGTTTATTTCACTGTAAAGTGTGTTTGTGTTGTGTGTAGTGAAAGATTGTGAGATTCTTATTATCAGGACAAACAAAAAAACAAAACAAAAAAAACGATGAAACGCTTCCCTCACAAACTACACACACAGTGACCAAATGCATCCAGATGAAGCGATCAGACCACATTTCTGTACAGATAAAACTGCAGGGTTCATTTAGTTTGAGTTCATGTTTGAAATAACTGGCTTTTAATCGCAGACTTTGGTATCTGTGCAAAATAACTGTTTTGAAACTCCAGTTGAAGCACATGTGAGTTTCCTTGGTCTTTTCTTAAGGAGAAACTGAAAGGATTCAGAGGACTGGATCAATGCTATATGAAATTCAAGTTATACACAATAATTATCGTATTTTACCTGCAATGGATTGGGAAAAGTAGGCTAGATTCAACATTTTAGTTCAGTAATGACTCCAGACACAGCAAAGCCTCTAAAGCGCCAAGCACCTCCTGCTGGAAGAACCGTCAAGAGGCACACATTCACAGACTGTCTTCCAGTAATTACCATCCCACATTTATCAAAAAGTATGCTTTGTGTTATATTACCTTGGAATTAAATTAGGCCTAAACTAGTAAACACTGCAGGGAGGGTGTTTGTACAGCTGGTGAGGAAGTGACGGTAAATTTGCAGCCAATCTCTTTTATGTCTGCTGCAACCTGTTTTTCTTCTTTTGGGAAGTAGTGGAAACGCTATCGATTATTTTGTTTTATAATGATTTTATTAGGTTCTTTGCTCATTTAAGTGCTATAAATACAGATTTCACACACTCTTTGTGTTCTGCATCAGTAAATTTGTTCATATTTTAGAATATGAATTGCTAGAACCATATGACATTATTTTTAAACATTCCATTGATTTTCTAGATGTGAAAGATAAGTTTTAGACACTGTGTCTATTTTATCATTAGTTCTCTAGCGGTTCCTCTCTGAGTACAGCAGCATCTATTTATAGCGCACTCGAGTTTCTCCTTTAAACACTAGAGAGCGATAATGTGCTTGTGATATATTTGCCAAAATCTCCAGTAGTGCATACTGACAAGAAAAAAATAAATAAACAAGAAACAAGCAGTAAATGGGGTCAATATTTAATAATGAAAACAGAACATTTCAGTTGAGATTCTGGATTCTGTACTATTTTTGAACCACTAATTTAAACTAATACAAAAAAAAAAACAGAAAGGATGAAGCCAAAAATGTGATACAAAGGGCAAAAACAAAACTGAGAGAGAAGAATGACATCCTGGCAGAGAATAACTGTGAACACAAACAGGTGTGAGTCAGGGTCCTGTGTGAGCACTAGCATCCATTCTGGTAGATACCTATTTGATCATCGTTTTTTGGGGACATTTTCATACACAGCATCCGACTTTGATTTCTGCAAGGAAACACAAACTCAGTCAGGAATCTTGCTGATGCAACATAACATTAATAACAGACCAGCTTCTTCTATACAATTATTTGCTTAAGTAATACTACTTCAAAAAAATCTCAGTTAGATTAGTGAAACTAAATGTCATTTTCCATAATTTTTACTCCAAAGTTTAAACCTGCATGCGTAAAGCTTCTTGTTGTAGCCTGTGAATAATTTATTCTCAGTTATGAATTATGAATGGTGATTATTTGTGTAAATGCTAAAATTATATGATTGTATGATTGATCATGTATGTTGAAATATTTGTGCCATCTAGTGAACAGAACACTACACGACAGATTTATACATCAGTGCTCGAGGCTACAGATGAATGCAAAGGTGGTGTGTAGGAAGGCCACATATGATTCTCTCGAGGAATTATAAGGAATATTTGATTAACTCTCTTTTTTGAAATGACAGCATGTCAAAACACTGCTTTATTATTTTTAACATGCAAATTTGAATCTACAAATATTGACGTTTCTGGAAACACTGCTACAGAAAAGATGCTAACATGGAGCAGCAAGAGGAAATGACATCAAACATTCAGCTTATCACATGACTTTTTAAACAGTTAAAACATCAAACAGGTTATTTAAGTTCTGAAGGTTTCTCGCTACTGAGAAGTTTTTTTTTTTTACACAAAAGTAACAGCAAAGATACTTGTTTCAGCACATCTACAACCACTGGCCACTAAGGCTGCATTCACCTCGGAATAATTATATACCGTGGACCAGCTGCAGCTCGAGGCCAGACTCTAGCACAGGTAACATAGGTTATTTATTTAAATTAGGCCAAAGACCACATCAGGCTGAAGTGTAGCGGTCAAATGTTTTCACATAATGAATACAATTTATTGGGATTGCCTAATTACATTCCAAAAATGAAGTACTTGTAATTAGATTAAATTACATTTTAAAATACTTGTAATATAACTACAGTTCATTTTTTATTGATTACATGATTACATATTATTCACACAATAGTAATAAAGTATTCATAATTGATTGATTCTCCCTATTTCCTCTTTTTCATCTCTTAAACGTTCCTTTCTAAAATAGCCTACTGCTTATATACATTCAGAAAGTCTTACAGTTTTGTTGACATTAACACAAACTTCATAAACTTTTGAGAGCAGTTGTGGCAGTGTGCCGATTTTTGTTTTTCGACATTCACACAAAGACCAGTCACTTGTCATTTGACGACTGCATTTACAAAAAATCATTTCAGGTTTAAGAAGTGTTTGAACATTGCATCAACTACTAACCACTTATATAACCATATATTACTACGTCATTTGAAGGCTTTTGTCTTTCAAGCACATTAAAATGCACAAATTCACATTATTTCTTAATTACCTGTAATGCAGGCATTGTCAAACTTTTTTGTCATCTGAATCTCTTTCACCTATATATTTACTTGAAGTACTCCCTGAGAGTTTAAAATAAATATTTTAAGTATCACATTTGCATGTTCATGGTTCTCTGAAGTTGGTTAATGGTCACATGATATGCAGATAAACAAATAAAATATTTCATTTGTTTTAGTAGGCCTAAATGTTTTAGTATGATTCATGATATTTTCAAATGATTTATTTTATTTTACATTTTTATGATTTCAGTAATTATTAGATTTTCATTAAACTCACAACCCCCCTGCAGTGCGAAGCCCAGTTTGGGAATCCTTTATGTAATGTAGGCCTAATGTTAATGCACTTCATGTTGTTAAATACACAAATGGAATATATATTCTTTGTATTTTTTCTATCAATATGGTACAACATTATCTTATTTAAATCAATGTGATAAACGAGTTAGGTCAAAAGTAATCCAAATGTAATCAAAAAGTAGTTGATTATTTTACCAAAAATGTTTAATGTAATGGACTACGTTACTAACTACATTGTAACGGACTACATTTTTAAGTAATCTACCCAGCTCTGGTGTTTTCATAGGAGTTCATCTGCCGCAGTAGGCTATGTGGCGACGGATCACTCTTTGCATACCTATCCACGGTTAGTCGACGTTCATTTGCATAAAGTTGTTATTGTTGAGTTGCCGTTCGCTGTTACTGGATTTTGTTCTAATGCATGATGTCCGATAGTGTTATGATAATCACAGTGTGTGAACGCATATTTAAAATTAGAACGACTCTTTAAATTTAATTCAATCACACGTGTTGCTTTTTATTAAAAGATTTTTATATCCGTAACCACTCCGTGTCAGCGCTATAAGCGTTAAGAGAGAATCAATCTACAAATAAATGTCCAATCTACAAGTACAATCTACAAGTTGTTTACAAATTTGGCGCCTGGGTTCTAAGCAGATTTACAAGTTCAGAAAATTAAATAAAGGAGCGAATGGTGGAGAGTGATTGGTGGAGGACGAGCTCTCATTATTTTGCTCCACGTCAAGCACATCATATGTCTCCATCACGGCAAAAAAAAAAAAAGGAAAAAAAAGTTGACAGCAGTTTTGGGTAAGAAACTATAAAAAATAATAAATAATGATAATAGCTATAAATATAAATAATTATAGCTATTAATTCCTTCTTCAACAATTTAATTAGATTATTACTCTCTCTAAAAAGTTTTGCATTCAACCTGGACCGTACTAGCAAACAACACAAGGATAGACATAAAATGGCTCGTTTAATTATTTTAAATAAATAATATAAAATTACATAAATTACTCTTGAAGTATTTAAAGAAAGAAGGTTACATAAAAAAACATGCTAAAAACAGGCTACATTTTTACATTAGATGATGATAATTTTGATATTAAATCCACTATTGTTTTATATAGAATTGTTCTATAGTCTGTACGGTACGTAATAAAAGTATATCAGAAATAACTGTGATTAAACTACAAAAAATACTTTTAATACTTTTTTGAATAATTATTTTTTTAGGTCTGCAAAATGCAAATAGACATGCAAAATGGAAAAACTGATGTGCAAACAGCACATACGCATAAAAGCGCATAAAAACATACTCTCCTTTTGATCTGCTCCCTGTATACTAAAGGTAATACTGATGACGGTTGGGCTGATAGTTCACCCAGGTCTTTTCACTGACCGCCTCTTGCATATTGCACACAAAACTTCAAACATCAAGCTTCAATCGGACTAACTGACAGCAATGCATTTTCTTGCAACACAATCATGAATGATTTACAATAAAAAAACTTACCGTTTTTCGAGTTGTTGGTTTACACAATGCTGAACCAGTTCTGTCTTCTTCCTGGGTCTGGACTGCATTAACAATGATCACAGACGTGTTAAAATGATAAAGTTTCAGAATTATTTTGACATTTGTGTCTTAAAATTATATTTGAATTGCTTGCTCTGCTTACCTGTTTTTCTATGTTTCTTGCAGATGCAGCACATCACGACTGGAACTACAATCAACAGAGATCCAGCAGCAGAAATCAACACTATGTAAAATAAAGGTAGGCCCTGATCTGTAATGGACAAAATGAGCCATTATTTAGAGTGCTATATAACAGTGTTCAGTGCTATGTAACTTGTATATCACTGGTGACATACCTAAATGTTTCTGACAGAGTTGAGTGATGTTGAGATATTGAGTCTGGTTGCTGATGGGATTGTTGAGCACACAGCTGTAGGTGTTTTTATCCTGATATTCCACCTCCAGAGGTAGAGAGAGACTGATGCTGAGATCAGACACACTGATGCTGGACAATAAACTGTTTCCTTTGTACCAGGAGAGAGTCACATGACCCACATTCACCACTGAACACACCAGTGAACATGAAGATGATGATGATGAGTTTTGTGAAAAATCTCTGGTAATGTTAAGAATGGGCAGATGGGCTGAAAAATAAGAGAACAAACAGTATAGATACATGTACACAACAATCTTGTTTTTGGTGTAGTGTGCTGACACAAGGTGAGTGTTTCTGTCAAATGAAGCTATACAATGATTAAACATTACAATATTTCTGTGGTCGTAGTACAATTTATCCTAAATTCTTAGCATTTGCAGCATAATAATTGCAAAAAAATATACAGAGACACTCTCACAATTTAAGTAAATGCAGCCGATCTGTAAATATTAAAATACTCAAATAAAATACTTAAATGGCCGTAGACATATACAACACTCTAAAATGGGCGTAAAAATTATTTAACACTCTTTACAGCTCAAATAATACCCCCGTTTTAACCAGATAATCAATCTAAGTTTGTTCTTTCTTTCTTTCTTTCTTTCTTTCTTTCTTTCTAAAGGGATGAGTGGCTGAAAACGCAGCTGCATAAACTTAACTTTTATTGAACCTGATATATTCCTTTACTTAATCAATAATGTTTAAAAGACTGAACCATTTTGTTACTCACCATAGACAGAAACACTGAATGTTTTTGTTGACAGTTTTTTCCCATTTATCTCTAATTCATAATGTCCAGAATGTTGAGTTGTGATGTTTGTGATGGTCAGAGATCCAGTCTGTCTGTCCAGCTTCAGTCTGTCTCTGAATCTCTCATCAGGGAAGATTTGGTTCTCTTTGTTGATTTGAGCTATGAGAGACTTTTCAGCACCAAATTTCCACAGTATGTCGTCGTCTTCATGTATTGCAGTAACATTATTCTGTAGAAGCACAGCATCTCCCTCCAGCACTGATAATGACTCGCCAAACACACCTGGAGAAGATATAGGATCAGATTAAAATCTTTGTTGGTTTACAAAGCTGAAATCAGTTGCAGTTTGTAACTAAATGTGAAATGACTTGAAAAGAAATGAAGCCATAAAAATGCTTGTATAACTTACCAGTCAAACGCCACCAGCACAACCAGTACAAAACAAATGTGCAAACCATTTTCTTCAGTTGTTCAGTGAAATCGTGTAAGACTATACATCAAAACTCTCAAGCTAGTGTATGAATCCTCCCACAACAGAGTTTGACCCTCCTAGTACACACACTCTTTATGCATGAGGTATAGTTTCATATAAATGCTCTTCTGCCTCTTATTAGACTTTAACCTTTTAACACATTCTTGTATATATATATGAATACTTCAGATGCTAAAGCCTATAAGTACGTCTGACATTTTTCTTTCAAATTAGCATTTCTTTCTGGCTACTATGTAAGTACAGGTACTTCTGATTTGTTTGAGGCTGGGATTTAGCGAATTTGTGAAAGTACTTTGTGAAAGTGAAAGTACTTGATGAACATATACTATGTGTGGAGAAAATTCACAGTATCGTAATCTCATTTTTGACCAAGATAGCTTTTAGAGGCTTTTGCATTGGAATTTGCATTTTGCATATATATATATATATATATATATATATATATAATTCTGACTCTTAAATATGTATGAATTGCATGAATATTGGATTAGTTAGCATAAATTTCATGGTTAAAGTTGAAGGATTTTAAAATGGTTTTATAATCAATTAGTTCTTGCAAATGGCAAAAACAGTCTGCCATCTTGCATTATTGCTAAACTCAGCTCATTTCTGAGTCAAACTGAAACCTGCTGCGGTTGGTTTTCATCAGAAACATGGTTTGGTGGACAAAAGCCTCTGCAAGTAGCCATTTGTTTGATGTGAGTTTCGTTTGTAGGTGAAGAGTTTCTTCCTGTTTTGCCACTGTGTACTTCACACAATGATCACTGTGTTGATCTTCTCTACACAGAACTACAGTAAAAAAATAACTGAATCCATCAAAAACAGTCAAACTAGAGTCAGAGGTCAAATAGGATTTTTACCCATCATGAATAATTGATAAACTGATTGACTGATGATCATCTCATAACTCTAAATAATTCACAAATAGGACAAACCAAACAACTACCTCATTTTCAAAATTAAGATTACTGTTAATCCTTATAGCCTAGGCTACAACTGACTATAGGTTAAGATTAGGATAGGGCGACTGGTTCGCTTGTGAGCACCTCCAGATTTACAGTGGTCATGAAGTTCATGGTCACGTGCACAAGTCAAGGGCACAGGAAGTGTGCCAGTGGGTTACTATTATATAAAATAAATGATACAAATTATGATAGGATAATATAACATTATTTAGGTTTTTTAACAATTCAGTGTGGGAATAATCCATTATTTTAACGCTGCAGTCTGTAACTTTTTTTGTGTTCAAAATTTACAAAATGTATATAATAAGCGAATACATCATAAATCCATTTTCCAAACCGTGTTTTTGGCTAATCATGAATCACTACGGTACACCTATAATACATTTTTATATTCTGACTATTTTAGACTGGTTCTGGTAGGAACCGCTGTGGAATAGCCCAGTACCTGCGTGATTCATCATAGACATAAACAGAGAGAAGTAGCTCTGGCTACAATGTTCTTCCGCAAGACGCATGCAGTTCTGTTTATTAACCGCTAGAGCGCCAAAAGTTACGGACTGCAGCTTTAAATATTGTTGATTACTTTTTAATTTTTGTTGTTGTTGAATAGCAAGATTAAGAAACAATATTTATTACATCATGTGTGTCGGAACGTCAGTGTCTAGCCTATAGTAAAAAAGGAAATTAAAGGTGCGTCCCAAATCACGTACTTATGCACTATTCTATGACGTTTTGTAGTATGAATAGTGCGAGTAGTGTGTTCACGCTGAAAATTCCAAAAAGAAAAATTGCACTTTAAATACCTGGATGATGCACTTAAATAACCGAAAAAACGAAGTGTGGAATGTTGAACACTTCATGCACTCAACTGTCGCAGCTTTAATAGTGTGGGGGAACTATGATGTCACTTTGTAGGCAGATCGGCTGTTAGCATGACACTGGTTCCCTCGAACAAAAAGCCTATAGGATTTTCCATAGTTCATGAAACTTACACGTTTTGACAATCAAGATAATCTTCACAAAATAATATAACTTTGTTGAATTTTGAAGCCTAAATAAAAGCGCCAGAACTTAAAAGCTAAATTTAGGCTACAAATGAACTACAGCTCCACGGTCGCTCGCCTTCAACGTCACCACCACCATGCTCCTGACAACTTTTTCAAACGTATTTTTAACATGTTCAGTGAAAAGGATTTACTCTGTATATTAATTTTAATCCACACTACATGAACCTTTTCATATACACTCTTAAAAATAAAGGTGCTTCACGATGCCATAGAAGAACCTTTTTGTCTAAATGGGGTAGCTTTTCTGCAATGTCGAACAGGCCATTAGGGACTATAGGTGGAAGATATATCTGATTATAATGTGATGAAAAGCATCTTCTGGTACTTATCAGATATGGATTTGGTGCACTTGTACACTGTCCCTATCAAATAAACTACAAATAATAATATGTATATATGATAAACTAAATCAGTTGTGTACTATCACATTAAAACACCAGTTTATACTTCAGAGATTTAACTTAACTTCAGTGCCTTATGGTAGGGTAAGATAAAATGCTGGCTCAATTTACCCCACAGCATTTGGCTCACTTTGCCCCATAGCTGCCATTTTGGAAAAAAACTAGCTTGCTTACTAATATTTAGCTAAATGATTTACATGGTTTTATACATTGCTAAAACTAGCTTGGTTAATATTTAAAAGTAACAACTGAAAAATATGAATTCGATCTGTTGGGTGGACAAACAGTATGTGTGTAGGCATTCTGTGCATATGTGTTTAGTTCGTAGGTGAAGAGCTTCTTCCTGTTCTGCTATGAACCTCTCAGTTGATCTTCTCTACATAGAACAGCTTGACTGTCAAAGAAAATACTGAATTCAACAAAAAAACATTTTAAAGTTGGAATGACTGCATCATGTCTCAATGAAACATTTTATTTAATAATATTTCACGTAAATTAATTGATTTTTCCTCTTTAAAGTTTTTTTTTTTTCCAGCATAGCTCCTAATAACTATGAAACACCATGTTACATTATGATTTAGTAGACAGCAATCATTGTAATGTCCTTATTTATTATAAATGTCTGATGTAACGGTGGGTTTAACTTCAATGTTACACAAGTAGCACTGTTTACTTTTACTTTACTTTTACTTTTAGTCATTTAGCAGACGCTTTTATCCAAAGCGACTTACAAATAAGAAAAAGTAATTAAAACTAAAAGCTAAAACTCTATAAATACTATATATA